AGAGATGCAAAGTTAACTTTTTGTGAGAAACAACTAATCAGAAGACTGTGTTTTTCTGCTAACAATAATCTACAATAATGTACATTAAAATCTATAAATATGTGTTGATTTTCCTTAATAAACGATCTGTCGCCTGGCCCTCGTCTTCTGTTGTTACACACGGAGGGAGAGGGCTTCCGAGTGGTTACGCCACAGGATGATAATTGCATGCTTGTCTCGTTCCGCAAAAGGCAGAAATAGGTGTCCACAGTTCTCCTGAAGACCAATGTATAAATGCCACCCACTCAATGGGTTTGCACTCCGGTGGGTGTGTAGTGGTGAAGAGTCCCGAACTAGGCCGACGAAACAACGGGCTGTCCAGTACTCCCAGGTTTTCCAATGTTCCTCTAACTTATGTCAGCTTACTATGAAATCCTATAACCAGTCAAATGCCTGCAAACAAACACTTCACTATATATCGATATCGTTGGAACTTGTCGAAATATCAAAAAGTTTCGGAACTAAGATCAGTAGCTGCATTTCAAAACGAATCTCTGGTATACTAGGAGGAATAAACATCTGTTAAGTTAGGACTCTTAATCAAACTGAGACTTTAATCATCTTAGAGGCTTTTTGAAATGAAAAACCTTCTCTTTCAAATTCTGACAGTTTCATCAATCAATCAATGCCTTCTTAAGAGAACAGGTTTCATTCTCTCTCTCTCCCTCTGCTGTAATCGAGATTCCACTTCACCAACTTTACTGAACGTGACATGATGCTTTAGGCTATATCAGTTTAAAAATTTCAAACTGACGATCAGGAGACGTAGGGTGTTAGGCGAATGAAGAGAGGAACAGGACGATCTTACTAAGAATTACAGCAATACCACTAAGTTAGATCACCACCTTATCTATCCACTATTGATGTTTCATTTGCGTTCATATTCATACTACTTGTTACTAAATAAGTAGTGTGCGTCTATATTTTGATTACCACAAAGTTACTCCGTAATCATAACCATTGATTTCCATTGGAATTAGTCTCATTTAATGTATCAGCATTCTATTTGGTTTGTAACAATTATCCTCCTATGGTTGAACGCTTTCAGCTGTACATTTCGATCCTTATGTTCCTCTCTGTGTGTTTAATACCATCTATTAGAATTCCTTTATTCTTGATCTGTGCATTCCTGCGCTGTTTATTATGGGCTGTGGATCGTTCTTGACATAGCTCTGTTGTTTTTCTTATTCACACTCAGTGATAGTGTCTTTGACGACACTCAGCTTAGATACCTCACAATTTGAGGTTTATACATTCTATTGAATTTTTTATTTAGTGCCGTGTTTTAGACCAATCTCCTGTTTTGGATTTTTATGTGGTATTCAGGTGGGTAGTTACCTGGGCTCTAGTGAGAAGTAGTGACCGCTGGGGTCCATCTAGTCGAGTTGGAGGACGAATAGTTGCCAGCGATGACATTAGCTAGTGCCTGTTGCGATAAAGCAATCACGAATAGGTGGGAGTAAAAATTCATGGTCTGGCCAGTGGATTGGTGGGTCCGAGTGGATGAATGGCCTACAAGCTAGATTGTGTTGTAACTCGAAGGCTCTGGATTCTTAGCCCGGTGAGTGAGTACTGGTGAAGAGTATAAAACTACGACGAAACAGCCGTCCAATAAGTAATCCCAGGTTTTTCAGTGGTTCTCTAATCAATGTCAGCTCATGGTGAAATCCCGTAATCAGACATTTGGTTTATTCATTAGAATGTTCACCTATAAGTTATCGTTCTGCATTTCTCAAGAGAAATCTACAATTCGTTTGAATCATCTTTCACAAACACACACGCGAGCTGATGTGAGCAAAAAGTAAGGCGATGAAGTGAAGCCTAGTATTCATTATCACTACTCATTCCTTGCGTTTCAAGTGGAAAATAAAGCTGTGGCGACACCTTCCGATTATATTATCTTCTCTGCGATCACTTCTAACTGGTGCCATGACTGCCCACATGCTTTCACTTTCTCCTCATCACTTGATCTCTCTCATATCACTCTCGAATCCTCAAACAATTCCTTTTTATTCATTCAGGTTTCACTGGAGGGTCTGGCGGGCGATGCCACTCAACCTATCTGCTAAGCGTACATCCAACCTCATTTCCATTTCCTTTTGAATATTTTTTAGGTATTAGGATCTTAGTTGGTTTGTTACCACAGTCCATTGTCGCCTTGATCTTCTCTATCAGTGCAGCGAAGGTACCTGTTTGTGAACGCCTGAGGCGGCCTGTTAGAAATACTTTTAGTGAAGTGCCAATTAAGTCTCTGAACTATACCACTATGTATAAGCACTCGCTTGGCATGAATGCTGAAAATTCAGATTTCATTCCTTGTACTAAGTACTGTGGCGCCGGTGTTGTGCAGCTATAGAATGCTTGCCAATCACGCATATTGTCCAGGGTTCGACCCACAGCCGGTGAACTCCTACACCACACAGCTGATAGTAAGTCTGGCAAAAAGGGGAAGGTTGTACATGAGGCTAGCAATCCCATCCCGTAAAAAGTAAACACCACTGCTAATGAAACTTCAGAGCTCTACCTTGACGCTCTATGTTCCACTCGGAACGCTAAGCGATGTGTTGTAGATTTCCACACTGATTTCAGTGCAGTGAACGTCTGACTTGCTTCCCCGATTCTGCTTTTAACGAAGGAGTTGTTGATTATTACGATTATTATTTCGAAATATTTGTTGATTTTGATTTTATTTTTACTGAAATGTTCAGTTTCATTGGGAATACCGCAATTGCATGCGGCTGATGAGTCATAGGTAGGACGAAACGCACATCATAGATGCCGCTGAGAGCCACCAAACAACAACAAAATCAAATCGCATAGTAGTTATCTAACAAGAGCTCGGTAATTGATGCTCAAATTATACCTTGATGGTTGGTTTTCCATTCGCATACTTCCAACAGAACAGGTTGTGGAACTAAGATTAACAAGGTGTTGGGCGATGTTTACGATATATCTTGCTTTCGTTAATACTGAAAGATCTTAAATACTATACATGTCCAAACCAAATTCACTTTTAACAATTTGAAAAAATTAGGGTATTGGGTATATAATGTTCATTATAATAAAGGTTTTTGTATTTCCCAATGAATGAAAAAACAAAATGATATTGCTGTTTTTACTGACGTTTCGCTATTTAATGCTAATAGCTGCTTTATCAAAGTAGTATTATTAAACGGGAATTTACAAAATCTCAGCATATATATAACGAAGAGTTAAGAGGTGAGAAAGCAGTGGTCATTCCATACAGAACAGAGACGCCAGACGATATCAGAAGAGTGCTCAATCAGCTCGACATTAGAGTTTTCTTCAAAACATCAGACACACTGTAAAACAACCTTGTCCATATAAAAGACCAAATCCCTAAATATTCTTTATCTAATTGTATCTATAAAATATAATGCTTGGAATGTGATGCGATATACATCCGGCAAACATCTCGAGAAATCAAAATCAGAAAAAATGAACACCGTAGAGCATCTGTTCAACCACCGAGAAATCCAGTTGACCCAAAATGCTTGAAAAATCATCAGCCATAGGTCGTCTACACGCTATAGAACAATCAGGCCACAAAATTAATTTAGACAATATTGAAATAATCCAGAAAAACTTCAGAAATCACAAAGAACGTCTAATATCAGAAGCATACCATATCAAGTGGAATCCAAATTGTCTGAATAGGAATGATGAACTAAAAGAGAATCTGACCTGGTTGCAACACACCCCTCCCCAACCATGAAGTGACAAAATCAACACAAATGTGATAAGCAAGTTCACTATGTAAACACACACTGCCTTTATAATTTTACACACTGGTCAAATCCAACAATCTACGCTTGGTTTTGTTATCTTTACCAATTGGCCAACTTGACAGCGACAAATGACCCCGGACTGACGAACGATGATCAAGTTAGTAAACTTTATTTTGATATCATAACAAACGTACTTTCTTCATTGTTATTTTGACTTTCAATATGTCCCTTAAACTTGACCTAACTTGTCTATTTTCTCACCTCTTAACTCTTTGTTATATATACGCTGAGTGGATTTTGTAAATTCCGGTTTAATAATACTTTGATAAGGCAGCTATTAGCAGAATTAAATAGCGAAACGTCAGTGAAAACAAAAATATCGTTTTGTTTTTTCATTCATTGAGAAATACACAAAACCTTTATTATGATCTTAAATGCTCACTTTTACATTACGAATTAAAATGATTTGATGCCTATCTTGGGTTATATAGAACACTATGTACTACTGATTGACAGATATGAGTAGTTGTATGCCACTCACACCAACCAGTAGTGCTTGGTGGCTAGCCAGCCAGTAGGGTGCAGCAGGTCGGGTGTGAGGACAAATACTCGCCGAAGACATTGGCTAGGGGTCGCGCTATGTCGTGAATTGGCAGAAGTTAGAATTCATGGGCTGGCCATTGGATCGGGTCCCAGTGGCTTAAAGGTATACGAGCTCGCCTTGTAACCAGAAGATCCTGGGTTCGAATCCCGGTGGGTGCGTACTGCTGAAGAGTCTCAAACTAGGACGAAATTTAAATTTAATTTAAATTTAAACAGCTGTCCAGTACTCCCGGCTTGTTTTCCAATGGTTCTCTAACCAGTGTCAGCTCATGATGAAATCGTGTAACAAATCGAATTAGTCTAAACACTCGACAGGCGTTCCCCTTGTTTGCGTATGAGCTCACCAGAGGTGTACACGGTTCGACACAGCTAGCTGAGAGAGCCGAATCAGTCAGTTTGGGCCACTCCATTCCTGGCTACCCACCTGACTTGAGGAAAGCAAACTAAATTCGTAACTTATGCATTTTATTCATCTTGGGTTGTGTTTGGTACTTAACGTATTCACATGTATCCAGACATCGATAAACAAGTCATGCATGCATCAATGAAGTGAATTGTGAAAAATAAACGTTTTAAACCCTCATCAAAACAGTGAATATAGATATCAACTTACGTTCTTGCAGTTATATCCAAGTAATCACCTACACGAAAGTGATTCACACCTAAAGGTGTTCCTAAACACGTAGAAAAACAAAAGAGAAAAGAACGTAGTTAGAAGCAGTCTGTTTTCATGAACGTGCCGAATAACGCTCGCTAACTACACCTGACTCGGTCTGGGGTTCGATTCCCAGTCGACGGACACACTGCTAAACCCCGCTAAGCCGGTAGAGAGGGAAGGTTGGGCAAAGCCTATGTTTCACTAGGAACTAAAGGAGATAATAATAATGTATGATAAAAATAATATTCGCAAGGGATCCAATTATTCACCGACATAATATTTATTAGGGGAGACAAGAACTATCAGACTGACTCACTGGATTCAACATACGACTTTGCACAAAAGTGCCAGCCCCCCCCCCCTCCGCCACTCTGGGAAAAACAACAGTAATATGGAAGAACAATACAGTTTTATCCGATGTGACAAATCACAAAGAGTGGATGCATGCATCTGCTCCAGCCAATGACAACGAGGATTTTGAGCCATATCACCAATTGTCTCCAGTCATCATTGGTTCTTACCATTCTGAGGACCCCAACCAGCTAGTGAGGGAGTCTATAAACCCCTCCCTACGTGGCTGCTTTAAACTAACTCTTATGGATTCCACTGACTGATGAAGCCATGCTTTGGTTTGACCATAACGCGCTATCTCTTCCAACCTGATCCATCCTATGTCAATCAGCTAACATTGCCCGTTTTCGAGGAAGTTGATCAATGTTTAGGCTAGATTAGGCTTAAGTAACCTACGTTCTAACCATCTCTCTCAATCAGTGCATCTGCTTTACAACCTCTTCGATTGATTTTCCCTCCTTACCTAGCACTCGACTGAAGCCTAACGTCAATATTACTCACCCCTCCTATTATACCACCACCTAACACACACAGGAGATAGAACGGAGACATCTATGACTAAAGACAGCCAGATAGCCTCATCTCATGTCTTCCACTCGCAGCCATAAAGGAGGACTGAGTGAACAGCTGAACATAACGTCTTCGGATATCACCTCTAACGCCAGAGACGGAGAAGTTAGAATAAGCCACATGAGCGTTTGGTATCCGTGGTGAGATTTCGTCAGGAATCAGTTCACTGGGGCTGATGCAAATTCCCAAATAAATGAAATGGTCAACACGCTCGACCACTTCTTTGCCTTCAAGCTAGGAGTGAGTCAATGTAGTCCACCCCTGTAACATCACCTTACATTTGACAGCAGGAGCGAATCACATGGCAAACATCCGAAGATTTTTACTCAAAGTGTTTAAAAGACTCTGTTTTATTTTGTCAGCGTCTTCACATTTAGAAGGACTACATCATCAGCACATTTCATGTCACAGAGATTATACAGTGGTAAAAAATCAATCCCTGAGTCGCTGAATTCAGTTGGAGTTAAGTTGATTTGTACATCTAAGAACGAATGGGTTATTGTCAAGTGTACGATAATGCATGCGATTCACTGAGTTACATTACTGTTGTTTATAATCCATCTACCACCTAACAACAGCAAAATAGACTACGAATGATTTCACACGAAATGATTCGATCTTAGGCATTCATGTATTCACAGTATTCCATCAAGAAATCTAAGGCATCTCTATTGCTTAGGCAAAAAAAGCACCCTGAACAATAGCAAAGTGGAGTAGTCAGAAATTTCACTTGGCCAACACAACGCATTTCGGTTCTATGAATAAAATTACCTTTAAAATGATGACAGCTTTTCGAAACCCTTAGGTTAACATTAACAACAAGCTCCTAATTTTTTTTAAAAAAAAGCCACGTATGATAACTACACTACAACAAGGACCTTTATCTGTGAATAGCGGTCGGGAAACAGATCGACGCAGAAGTGTGCACGAGTTAACTATGCCAAATATCAAAACAACACAAACAAAAAAGATCAATAAACAAATGATAATATTTAAGTGTTGTCAGCTGGAGAACCATTGAAAACCAGGGTGTACTGGACAGCTGACTCTTTACGGCAGTAGTATGTATATGTACCCATGAGAACTCCTTAACTCTTAGGGATCCAACACCCCAGGACCTTTAGGTTTCGAAGTGACTCAACTGACGATTTAGCCGCTGGGACGGAATCCAATGGCCAATGAGGTCTAGCTTTTACCAGTTGGAGAAATGCAATGCTACCGCCAACCAGTGGACATCACCTGGCCTTACTTGATGGGCCCCAGTGGGTATTACTCTTTTTTAGAACTTCAGGGGATGGCAACCCGTAGGTAGTTGCTAATTAACTAGCAGATTAATTTTCGAGTGTTGGTTTGTAGGAAATTGATTCGAGTGGAACCCGAATAGCAAAACAACGAGTTGGACGTGGGTCCAAGGGTAACGTGGGAGAGATAGTGCGAGGAGGAGATGAGAGATTAAGGCCAATCGTGGTGCCAACTAAAGAGGGCCGCCGCAGAGAATAGGAGAAAATGGAGAGGTGCTGTTGAAGCCCTAAGTTCCAATCGAAACCAAAAGGAACAATAATAATAAACAATAGGCGAGGTGTTAGATGGTTGGAGGCAATCGGCAGGAAGCCTTGGACCTTGAGGGGACATGAGTTCCTCCAAAGCTACAGTTACGCCTTGCTGACCAGTGCTAACTAGCACGAAACCTAGGTCCAAGGCTTCCTGCCGATTGCCTCCAACTATCTAACGTCAACAATCCAAAGTGCACCTTGATGCCGAGCTATGTAGAATGGCGGCCACATTGAAAACCTGACTGACAGAATTCAGTCTGCACTAAACAAAGGACTAGACACATTACACTAGTTACTAGTGTCCAGTGAATAGGTGAGGTTTATGAGTGCGTTGGCCGGAAATCGAATCCGGACGTTCTATGTGACTGGTGAGCATCCCTATCACCCACATGACCCACGCACTCGTGAGCTGACTAGAAAGATAATAATCAAGTGAAGATCGCTGAGAATGTTTAAAATTTATCAAAGGATAAAGAAGAGGAACATTTGCACCATTTATTTGAAGCCATTTCGTTGAGTTTCCAGTCATTTACACATAGTTCACACCTCCTCGATAGTTGTTAGTTGTATCAACAACTAACACTTTCATACAAAGAACATATTAACAGTTTTGTACATTTGTGGTACGGGTGCGTACTGGTGATGAGTCCCAAACTAGGCTGACAAAACAGCTTCCAGATACTCCAATGCTGGTTTTCAATGCTTCTCTGACTGATATGAATCCGTGGTCAAACTTGAAAAACGAATCAAATCCCTACAAACAAACTCATGAAGGCTTTTGATTGTGTCCTTAACGGAAATATCGTGTTTAAGAGAGGTAGAGACGTGACGTTAATCCAGTACAAATCCCGCTCCACCAACCTTCATCAAACTGGATGACTGCCGAGTTGTATCATCGATGTTTATACAACAAGTGTGGCATCATTGAAGAGCTGCATGAAAAATCTGTTCCGTGTAACTGAGTCCTAACAACCTTACTCTTGCGGTTATATCATCAGATCCTAACAATGTTACAAAGACAGCTATCATTATATCATAATTAGACCTTTATTGTCGATGGCGTAGTATAGTGTGTTTCACGATCGGGTAATTGATTAATTGACAGTCCTAGATACACTAACAAATCTGGATCTTCAAGTGTTGGTTTGCAGGAATTTGACTTGATTGGTTTCAGGATTTCTCCATGAGCTGATATCGGTTAGGGAACCATTGAAAAGAAAACAGGGAGTACTGGACAGCTAGAGTTATTTCATCGGCCTAGTCAGGGACTCTTCATCTGTGCGCACTCACCACCAGAGTTCGAAACCAGGATCTTACGCTTACAAGGCGACCTTGCAGACCATTAAGCCACTGGGGCCGGATTCATTGGCTAACCCATGAACTCCAACTGTGGTGAGAGCTGGCTGCTAGCCAAATTGGTAGACATTAATTTACGTCAAGGTTTATGTCCCAAATATTGGTCGTGAGAAAAATAGGAACAAAGACTTTGCGTAGGCGGATACAGTTAGCATATAGATGATCTGACATTCAAGAAACAGCCACAAAGAGATGAAATCTTAACTTTCAGTGAATAAACAACCAATCAGAAGACTGTGTTTTTCTGCTAACAATAATCTATAATATGTACATGAAAATGTATAAATATCTGTTGATTTCCTTAATAAACGAACTATTGCCTGGCCCTTGTCTTCTGCCGTTACACAACTTTTTCCAATTCACGACATAGCGTGACTGGCACCAGCCAATGTTATCGCTGGCGAGTATTTGTCCGCACATCCGACTTGCTGTACCCCCCACTGGTCACCACTTCTCACCTGGAGCCAGTCGCTAGTGAGCACCAGTTTGATATTCAAGTATTATCTTGAATCTGAATCTTACTATAAGCGTTAAGCTAATCGAAAACCAGTTCGTAAAGATTTGTCACAAAAAAAAAAAATTCAACACAAATTTTTTATTCAAACTGACCAGGTTTTAAAGCAGCATCTGGACTAACCAGAAAACGTGAAATTTTACGCTTCGGTGGTATTCCAGCCTCTTTAAATAAATTACACCATTCTGGAGTGAATTCAATAGGATCAGCAGAAAATGCTCCGACTAGTTGAATACCCCAACGTTTTTGTTTTATCCAAGACGGTGGACGTTTACTAGTTAACCAGTAATGACGAGGATGTAGAAGACTGATGAATTTGTCAATTTCTGCTGGAGGAGTATAACGAATAGCATGATTATCAGGTACCTGAAAGGGAAGCAGAATCCAGAAGAGATAATAATAATAACAGTGATTTAGACAGTCAGACAAATAGGTAGACGAAGAAAATGGTAAGGAAAGAGAATTCATTTGAAATAGGAATGGTTACAGGACTTCATCATGAGCTCACATCGCTTAGAGAACCATTAGAAAACCACCACTGGAGTACTGGACAGCTGTTCCATCAGCCTGGTTTGGGACTCTTCAGCAGTACATTCCCACCCCACTACCAAGGTTCCAACCCACGGCCTTCTGGTTACAAGCCAAGCTAACTTGTAGACCAATCAATCAGCCATTGGGATTCGATCCAAAGGCCAACCCATGAATTACAATTTCTGCCAATAGGAATACTTTCATGGAGTTACTCCATTAACTCAATTAATTACAATTCACCTATCCAGCAGTACCGAGCTAGCCACAAGCCATATTTATTGTGTGAGGACTGACAATACTACCCAGTTTTTTAGACTGAGATAGGTGAGGTGCCATTCAAGCCCGGGAAACATTGACTGGAAGTCGAATGATCAAACCACGCCTCCACCTTTATAGAATAGTTCCGGACTTGTGCACCTCCCTTTTGTTGTATTTAATGTAACACACTGTCAATTAGACATTTGTTCATGGTATGCTCGAGATCAACACTGTAAGATTATGATATAAGTGCACATAGGACATACTTATCTACGTCGTTACACTAAACTGGAATCTTTTAAAGATGGAGTTTCGAACGGAGCAAGGCTGTACAATTGCGTAATGTAAGCCTGTCTGCATATACTTGCAAACATACTGTACTACACAGAGAGAGAGAGTTACAAACTTCTGACAACTTGAAAATGTTGGATTAGGATTGAGTAAATTCAGACGAAATATATATGCCCTAAACAAGGCACTTATGATATTCCACCAGACTTGAGTATTCTCAATTTGCGTAAGGAGTTCACACTGTTCACTTTAGGCATTATAGGCCCTAAGAGATGCACCACACAGAACCCCATAGTTTGTGTGAGGGCTAGGGTATACTGCTGGTACGCCCACATAAAAGCAGGTGGTTGTTGTCGTTGTAAGGGGGCCACCAGCACTCAGATTCTGACTTGAAGTCTCTCCCACACAAGGCAGTAGAGTAGCGTCAGGAGGTACGTTTCTATGCTTTCCAGTGACCAAAACAGGTTCATACATCATCATTCGATTCGTTCCGATTCTGGAGTCCATGTGTACACCATAGGTTTGGAATTAGTGATTTCCAACTCCCCTCCTGAGGTAGAATTTCATGTTGTGCACTAGTCTGGTTGTAAGCGCCAGATGTTCAAATTCGCCCTTTTACCTTTGAGAGGAACCCCACCGCCTCGTGAAGGCAGTGGATAAGACTTACCTGGCAGAAGCAGTGAACACATGAGGGCATTTTCAAGAGGAAGACCGAAGTCTACTCACCCTCAACCGCACCACCAGATCGTTAGAAGTAACAGGAATTTTTATAGGGAAATATAATACTAATTCATAAGTCGTGACCAGTAAGGTGCAGCAGGTCGGGTGTGAGGACAAATATTCTCTGAAGACATTAGCTAGTGGTCGCGCTATGTCGTGAATTGGCAGAAGTAAGAATACATGGGCCATTGGATCGGGTACCAGTGGTTTAATGGTCTACGAGCTCGCCTTGTAACCAGAAGGTGCTGGGTTCGAACCCCGGTGGTGTGTGCGTACTGATGAAGAGTCTCAAGCTAGGACGAAACAGCTGTCCACTACTCCCAGGTTTTCTAATGGATGTCAGCTCACGATGAAACCCCGTAAACAAATTCACCATAAAATGGAAGTTCCTTTGTATCTTATCACACTACTCTGGAATCTCTTATTCAAAAGCCTATCTTGTAATATAGTAGAACGCCGCTTATCTTAATGGTATGACGACCGATACTATGCCACTCATCCCAAGCAAGCAGAATGGAGCCGGTGTTTCGAACACAAAGTGCTCAGATTGTCAAAACACACCACTATTTTTAAATGACAGATACCCTGAACTCAAGCAAAGGCTGGAGTAAGCACCGCTGTGTTTCAACAAATCTGATAACTGTATTCTTTTGCTAAATACTACTCTGGAATGTGCCAAGTTTTACATATGTGCTCCGATAACTATTGTGATTTCATTCAAGTGACCTAACAAACATTACATACTGAAGGCAACCAAATAAACCACACAGAGTTCCGGAAGAAAAAGTTTACCGTCATTTAATTTGGTACTTTCAGAAACCTTGATTCCAAATACAGCCTAATGATTTAGTCATCAGTTTTGTATAGTATAATATATTACTCGATAGCTATATGCAAATTAAAGCGCTTGGTGATAAGCCAATCTGTTGAGGGTAGGCCAACAGCACTGTCCAGCTGTTCAGAGACCTCTGTCTTCAGAAGCTTCCTTGTTGAACTGGTTCAAAGTCGACTGCCTACTTTGATGAACTGCCATCCGCCGCCTTCCCTCGAATTAATGTAGAATCTCGCACAGAAGTGAATCACTTTAAGTCTATACACCTTGGAACAATGCACATCAAAGAAAAGCAGATGAACAGAATGATGTCAGGATAGACGCATATATAAGTGTAGCTGGAAAAACAATAATCCAATGAAAATTAAGGTGGATATATTTGCGTTACAGTGAGCCAATTTAAATCAAAATGACTGATGACTGACTGGTTTCAACATAGAACTTTGCACAGATGTGCGCATCAGTTAAAGTTGCCACTCTCCCTCCATGTACGACACAAAGCAAGAGAAAAGCGTAAGGAGAGTTCAAAGCAAAGAGAGATAATAAACCGAAGTGTGAGGGAAGAACAATAGTAGTAATATCGAAGAACAATAGACTTTTATTCGTTATGGCTGACAGTCACAAAGAGTGAATGCATCTATCTGCGCTGTCATTTGCAACGAGGATTTTCAGCCATATAACCGATTATCTCGAGCCGCCATTGGTTCATACTATCCCAAGAACTCCAACCAGCCAGTCAGGCAGTCTACACCTCCCTCCTGCGTGGCTGGCTGGTTGGCTTAAACTAACTGTTATGGATTTCACTGACTGATGAGGCCATTTTTTGGTTTGACCACGACTAGCTCTTTTCCAACCTGATCTATCCTGTCAGTCAACATTGCCCGGTCGATAGCTGCTACCTTGACGTGGTGGTCGGGCTTGCATATCGTAATGACCCAACAAGCTACACTGGCCAGAAACATCGTTCCTGCAGGTCCTACCATGTCAGGAAGATTGCTAGGATAGCGCTTAGACCAAAAGCAGTTACCAGCATATTGTAAGATTTCTTACAATATGCTTGGGGTCTTTTGGCATAGTCGTACTGCTGGGGGAACAGGGATATAAACACAATAAGGTGAAACACCTCAGATGACCAGCATGCCAACTATGCTGTCCCCTCAGTCTGGAGAGATGGGGTTAGAAAAGGTCTGCCCCAAAAATTGTACATTCCGACTTACCCTAACAGTGGTCCATAGCCGGCGGTAAGTTACTAATACGGAACCAGACCTAAAAGTCATTTCAAACACGTCGTGCGTGACCATCCTCTAGAAGTTGTCCTCTGAACTCTGCGGTCATGCAACACCAATTCTCTTTCTGTTTTAGGTACCCCAAGAATTAAAAGAAAATCAAAATGACACACCATCGGTACTATAAGAAATAGACTTTTAGAACAGTAATAACAACACGACACAAAAAGAGGCTTACCTGATAAATTGTACAGTCTATTTTTCGTCCAGTCTTAGTCCATAAAGGATACATGCCTAACTTCACTGCAATTAGACCACATCGTTGTGTAACATAAGGTGTCCATGGTACTTGAACCAATTGTTCAGTAATAATTGGGCTTGTATTACAAGTCAATACATTCATACGCTCTTGTTCTAAGAACAGTTTGTTTTCAGGTGTAATATCATCATCTGTATAAGGATTAGCCTGTTGTTTAACCCAAAATGGCTTTTTCCTGTTCATCCAAGGATAAAGAACTTTATTCAAACTGCCCATAAATCGAACTGGTTCACTGTTGCAGATGAATTTAACATTTGTTCTACAGTAAGAAGAGAATTAACACCTCTTTCGGCAAAGACTTTCTACCTGATAACGAATGTTTTAATACACGTTCCAAACATCACTGTTTTTTATGGAAATTAATGTTGTACACAAATAATAAACTGGTTAATCAAGGTTTGATTGATTAATCTGTAATAAGGAAAATTTCATAAACAACATAACTAATATGTAATAGGAGATGAAATAAGAGAAGATGCATCACCTTAACTAATAGTAAGTCATGCAACTTTAAAATCTGGTGAAAGCTTATGCATACTATGCTGAGAGCCATACATCCAAAGTGATATCCAAGCGTTGTCTTACAGGGATTTGATCTGATTGGTTACATGATTTTATAAAGAACTGACATCGACTAGATAACCATTGGAAAAGCAGTCAGGGAGTACTGGACAGCTGTTTCGTCCGCCTACTTTAGAACTCTTTGGTAGTGTGTGCACCTACCGACAAGGTTCGAACCCAGGACCATCCGGTCACAAGGCGAGAGAGCTCACAGACCATTAAGCTACTGGGGCCCAGTGATATTATTTGGCCGTATATATCCAAATGGACCAGTATTCAATTATATCTAACTTGAGCAAGGACTACTGAACTAGAACTTTATAAATGAAACCAATTCAAACCATTTATTTGATAGAGCGTAAGATGATATGGAAATATTGAAAACAAAACAATATTAGAGAGTATAGTGATTCGGATAGGAGTACAATAATTACTGAATTCAATGAAATACATTCGGTTATGAAATTCACATGCGAAGAGGAATCCCAAGACAGAATTGCCTTCCTGGATGTCCTCCTTACAAGAAAACCAGATGGTAGCATAAAAAGAAATTTGCATAGAAAAAGTACATGGACAGGACAATATACACATTTTCACAGCTTCGTTTCTCTCAAGTACAAAAGAAATTTAGTGAAGACCCTCAGCCACTGAGTTAGAGCTATGTGCTCTGAAGAAGTAATTGAAAATGAATTAAGCATTGTATATGATACTTTGATCGAAAATAGCTATCCCGAAGAATTTATCAAGAAACACATGACAAAGAAAGCGGAAACCACTTTATATATGACTGCAATTCAAGGGCGATATACTAAGTGAGATAATTACGAGGAAATTAAGAAAATCAGTTCAAAGAACTTTGAATGCTGGTGAACTACATGTATTATTCTCTACACGACCGATGGTGCTACCTCGACTGAAAGATGAAGTACCTAGACTAGCCACTTCAAATTGTATCTACCAATTCAACTGCACTTGTAGTGGAGCGAGTTATATTGGCCGTTGCTCTAGGAACTTGATTTTTCGTGCTCGAGAACATCTCCCACTATGGCTAAGTAAAGGTGTAGTGAAAACCATTAACAGTTCGATATTGGACCATCTGGTGCAAACCGGCCACAAAGCCAGCATTGAAGAATCCTTCTCTATAATCTACCGGGTGCCTAATAAATTGCCAAAATCATCGAAGCACCGCATGCTCCAAACAGCACAGGCTATTGCAATTCGCCTCAAACAACCAGTGCTCTGTGTTCAAAAGAAGCAAATCCAGCCCCTACTACTGCCCTGGCCTTCAGTAGAGACTATAAATTCATGAATTTGTAATATTATCTTTCCTAATTTTTCTGACATTCAGTTTATTTTATGTTGATGCTACTGAACTGTAATCTATCAATATTACTGATTCGATGTTATTTAAACAACATTAATGTTGTTCATAACACTAATTCATTCATTCACTATAATGTATATATAACTGTAGAGTCTGATGATGAAGGGGTTATCGAAAAGAGTACTCTTTGTTCAGTATCTATTCTTTTGAAAATTTACTATTCAGGTCCCTGAAATAATTATAACAATAATTTGCTTAATTCCAAAACAGTACCTATGATACAGTGTAGAATTCTCAGGATTTTTAGGTACAATATATTGCATCTAATTTACTCGACAACAGCAAAAACAGAAATAAACAAAATGATATTACAGGATTGATATTGGTAGTTTTGTTTTGCTATTTGCAGTGACAGTAAAGTCGAAAATGTAAAAAAGTGTCAAATAATGATCATATTAATGTTAACAGCTAAGTAAAAAGTTAATTGAAACAGTGTCACCATAGACTACAGATAGGACAGAATAAGAGCCAATTATTTTGCTAATTACTTAGTAAGTTGTAGGTTTATCGTTTAGGACGCGGGCCAAATATGGTATCGTTGAGTTTATCTACTTGGTTGTACGAGCATATAATCTTTTATAATGACTTCTATTCCTACCTGATGAGATGCAAGAGAAGGGAGTGGTGTGAATGCGGATGTAGAGAGTCACACGATATGGATTTAGACCATTTCTCACACGAGTTCAGGTGTACATCGACTACACTAATAACGAGATGGCTACCTTAATGGCACACCACTTGCTCTACTAACAATATGACATAGTCGTTTATGAGCAGCCCATTGAGAGCAGTAAAGAACAATATGTAAGATGCAAGACTTAACAAACTTTAAAAGTAGAGGTTGTATGATACTAGATTGTCTTTACTTCTTAAAGTAGCAGGTTAGAAGGAACATTTTCTCAGAAATTGACAAAATATGAGATGACCAAGAAAAACTAGAGAATAAAACTATTGCAAGACATTTCATGCTAGAATTACTTTCTATATCAGTGCCTTCTACTCTACAAGCACTATGTAAACGAACCAGTTCTTGGAGATCACGTTTATGCCGTAAGGTAAAGTTAACTGTCTGATATTTAGAGGGATTTAAGGTAAGACCACTTTGGCTTAGACCACCGCCTGATGTCCGATAAAAAGCTATTCAGTTTGTAACAGTGAGATTAGGACAGAACTGTGAGACAGTCAGATCATCAGCATATTTGACGAAGTTGATTTCATCCGAAAGAAGTAAGGCATGTAAGAAAAAAGAAAAGGAGAGAGAACAGCACCTTGAGGGGAACCAGCTTCAGTAAGCAAGACAGAGGAGGATTCACCTTTATATACAGTAAAGTGTATTCTGTTAGGAAAATAAGAACGTAATCAGTTAAAGGTTCAGGACTGGCAGGAGTTACAACTCACGGGTTATCGGATTCTCTCATAGTGGTTGAATAGTCAGTGAGCACGTCTCGTAACCTGAAGCTTTTGGGTTCTATCCCTAGCATTGGGAATGTCGTCGGTGCGTAGTTCTGAAGTCAGTCCTAGAGTGGGACGAAACAACTATAGTCCAGTACTCCTTTGCTTTTAATGGTTCTCTAACTGATGTCAATTCGTAAGCTAACTTCAAAAAGTAGTTTTACACGGCTGTTTCATTATATTATGCGATACTTTAATCTTAAATTAAACATGTCACTGTTAACTATTTAGGTTTATACCATAGTTTAGAAGTTCATTCGCTTACTTAACTGTTTGTTAACTATTATTGTTCCTGATGTGATGAACACTATGTATTTCAAGAATTTTATTTACTATCTTACTGATAGGAATATTTGTTAAAAGTTATTCGTTTAAACACGAACATGTTCGACTTCTCAGTAAGTAATTGGGTTATAAGTTATATCGCGTAAATAACAATATAACGCAACCTTCTTATCCAAGTTAAAGTTGTTGGGATAGTATTTGAAACTAAAATGTGCCTCTAGTAAGTTGAGCGGCCAAGTTTAATGATTTACATTCAAAAAAGAATTACCGAGAGGACACATACATGATGGATACAAAAAGGAAAATTATTTTGTTAATTCACTGGCTAGGGACTTCTAAATGCAGAACATAATTACAAGTATAAGAGAAAATGGTGCATTTTTGGAAGATCTAAAGACTAGTGATAATTGAATGCATTTATAATAATAAAGTTGTTAAAATTATCCTCCAAAAACACATTCAGACAAATATATCTTTGTTACTAAGGAGACTAATATTAAGTATTTTAAAGTAACTTTTGGTCTGAATAATTCAATTAGGTCAGATTACACAAATGGGCAGAAGCTAGGAAACTAGTGTCACAGCACGGATTAGCATAGTAGTAGGGTGAAAGGTTTGACTGACTGACTGGTTTCAACATAGAACTTTGCACAGATGTGCACCAGTTCAAGTTGCCACTTTCCCTCCATGTGCCACACAAAGCAAGAGAAGACAGTAAAGAGAGATTCAACACGGGGAGAGATAATCAACAGAAACGCGAGGGGAAAACAATAGCAGTAATATGGAAGAACAATAGACTTTTATTGGATATGGCTGACAAATCACGAAGAGTGAATACATCTCCACTGTCGTTGACAACGAGGATTTTTGGCCATATCACCAATTATCTCGAGCAGCCATTGGTTCATACTATCCCAAGAACTCCAACCAGCCAGTCAGGCAGTCTACACCTCCCTCCTGCGTGGCTGGATGGGTGGTTGGCTTAAATTAACTGTTATGGATTTCACTGACTGATGAAGCCATTTTTGGTTTGACTACTACGTGCCAGCATCTCCTTAACTTGATCCATCCTATGTCAGTCAGCTAACACTGCCCGTTGTCAAGGAAGGTGATGACTAGGTTAGGCCTGTGTAACACATGTCCTAACCATCTCTCTCAATCCATGTAGCTTGACAACCTCGTCCACTGATTTTCCCTTCTTACCCAGGATTCGACCGAAGCCAAACATCAATATTATTCACCATATTATCCCACGTAACATAGGAGACAGAACGCAGACTCCTATGAAGAGAGACAGCTAGCCAGTCGTTTCGTGTGTTTCACTTTCAATGGCTATGTGTCTCACTCACAGACATAAAGGAGGATGGGGCGAACTACTCAGCAGTATACACGTCCTTTGATTGAATTCTTTCACTATTTCTGTTTCAGATGAAGGGCCCGTAATACGTTAGTTTTTAGATCCTAGCTTGATCACAGTGATATATTTATACTTAACTATTATCGACAGACAAATCTTCAAAAACAAATATAAGCAAATTGGAAACACTTAAACAATAGGCTCTTCGGGCCCGCATTATCAGTTTTAAGCAGCCTTAGGGATATACGAAATCTCCTCCGGTGAAGGAATTCATTTTCCTCGGAGTTGTCAAGTTCTAGAGTGCCGTTAGTGTACCACTGGCCAGTTATCAACAGTAATGTAGAACTTAGCAATGCTTCCAAGTGATCCCAGTTTTCACACCTCATCTGCCTTTTATTTAGATAATACAAAGGATTAAAAAGTGAGAACATAGCAAAAGGTTATAAAGAGCATGATATCAAAAACAAATAAAGCAAGTACATATATTGAATATTGCAATTAAGATGGAAACAAAGTATACAAGCGCCCGTACTATTGGTTAAGCAGATCAAGTTTTAATGAGCAAGTGTGACAAAATGAACCGAGATACATCTAGAGAGGATTCTAGTTTGGTTTATCCACCAGCATGCTTCTCCCGGAATTATCCTTACTTAGTAGTAGTGAATAGGTGTCAGTCGTTTATCCTTCACACAATCGTCATGAAAATGTGTCGAACAGGCGCAAAATGTGACATCCCCAAAAATAATTTCCTTTCGCCTTACGACATTTCAAAGGCAATTATTTAATTTTTGGTCATTTAAAAACGCCCATTTTTACCGGTTGATTACCTTGCAAAATTTAGATTTCTATATCATAACACCGACCTGTTCGGAAACAAACTACCCACTGTGCATAAAATAATGAAGACAAACCTCGGGGACCTTGAGGTATTGAGCAGCTCAAGGCCACAGTTGTATTACCCGCTATATTTCCCGAAACCCAACGCACTTCTCGTTGGTTTATACATGCCATGATTTCTCATAAGTCTTCGTGCTTAATGATAAGTAATCAGAACTAGTTATCATTTGTTTTCCATATAGCAAATACCACCATTTGCCCACTACATCATTAGCTTAAAAATCATTTGGTTAATTGTTTGTTTGTTTCCCGAGGGAGGTCATGATACATCCTATCGAGCATTTGACGTCTTCTCAACGATCCCGTTGATTCCTCGGTGCTGAAATTTGGCTTCATATAAGGATTCTAGGCTCAAGCTAGAGAATATTAGTCAGCAGATGACGTTGAAGTGGGAATCAAGATGAAAGTAACATCTCATAAAATTGTCCTTAATTTGAATATTAAAAACATATGAATGTACACAGGATACTATTTTTTAGTTGGCTATAGAAGAATTCACTAATTTGAATCAGGAAAACCTGATGGAACGTTGATCGAAATTCTGAGCATACACTCGCCTTCGTGACCATCAATAAGTTGGTGGAGAGGTTGACTTATATATTGGAAAGACTATACTTTGGTCATTGCAAGTCACCGATATGTATTCTGGTTCGAGATATTGCTAGAATGAGCATAGATGCATTTCTGTTGAAAACTGTTTCTGCAAAATTCCCTTCTTAAAGCCCAGGTACCCAGATTATTGTGTATAACATCGTTTTCCGTTGTATTTCCACTTGAATAATCTGTTTCATCAGTGTTCACAATGACTTCTACACCTCCAGGAGTCCCATTTACTCTGTACAGTGCGCTGTTTATGTGCGAGTGTTTAGTGTCTAGCCTTCGGTTGTCTAGACAGATCGTTGAGCAGCAGAGTGTTCATAATGACTATGAACTATTTTGGGATAGTTTAGATTTGAAAAACAACATTTTTGTGAGGCGAAATGCTTGGCATACCGTCTTGTGCAGACCCACTTTTCGGACGCCAATTATATCCGTGAAAATGTCAACCAGTTATACCTAACTGATATTATGACACCATTCAAGTCCTTACAAATTGGTTAGAAACTGGGCGCAGTTGTGGGCTATCCTACCCATTTGCTCAATCGTATGCAAGTGGATAATGTCCAGTTTAATTCCCTTTATGAGGAGACAAACGATCTTCCAAAGTCAGACACCTCTCTTCGTGGTATATGCAAAGAGTCTTCATCTGTTTTCCAACGTGGCTTGGATGCGAACAATCATTCCTTTATTTGCAGTGTTTGGACAGTGTTCCGTTTTAATCCAGTGCCACATAAAGTGAGAGAGGAATTTGATAAAGAATTACAGCGCTGACAGCAACGTGTTAAATTGGCACTAGTTACATGCTCACTGTAGACAGCATCATTTGAAGTTGTCAGGTAAGCAAATGGATATTTACGCATATGCTCTAATCTTTGGACTGCAGAAAGCCGAAAACTTCTAAACGAAAATACTCGCCACAGGTTTTTCATTGCATCAATTACTTTTAAGAAGTGCAACTGCTCTCACCACTGTCTAGTAGCTGGTGAGTTCCATTTTGGATCTATCTACAGGATAAAAATTAGCTCCTCACAAGAAGAGAAACTGCCGTAATGCAGATTAAGGGTGTCAATGCTTTTAGCTTAGGTGCGTGTTTGATGTGTGCAACAGATATTCAGATCCAGGCAGTATCTGTTCCACTGGAAGATTCCAGCACCCATTAATATGCCTCTGCCAAGCTATATCTTGGGTTTGAACGACAACTGTCCTGCATTTTTATGATCAATCCATCTTATTCTACCTCCAAATCGCTAAATGTGAAACTGTCTCAGTAAATTCCAATTCCAACATGTGCGCTTAATTAACTCAAGTACACTTTAGCACAAGTGTTCTTATTACAACTGAAGTAAATGCTTCGATCTGTAGAGTGAAGGCAGTGATTTTAAATGTCTATCCAGGCGGCTTACGGAAAGCGATCATGCATGCTTCCAGAACATTCACCTATGCAGATAAGGGAAATAAACGAACTGAAAAAGGAATACTAGTATGAGTCTCCGCTGCAATACTTCTTAAAAAACTGTTAACAGCACCAGATATACGTGCTGATAGATTGCAAACCATTATTGTACATTTTAGGCACGAAATGCAGTATTCGTGCCAATGCAGACGATCGATTGCAGTGTTAGAGAACTAACTTGTTAGGATATGATTCTAACACTCAGCACAATTCAACCAGGGATTTAGAACAGTCTGATACAGCGTCATCCAATCAGTGGTTCACACACTTCAACTGAAGGGTGCTACAATTGTAGAGATGTTTTCCAAAACCCACACATTTCTGTCATATATGGTGCTGCCCACTCCATTACCAGTAGCTTCTCCCAAATATCAGCTTGAAGTGAGTAATAATAATCCATTGCTTACCAAGTAGTTGGCCATGTGTTTGGTTTGATAGAGATTCGCAAAATGATTTTGATGTGGTTGTGTTCTCTGAGCTGGATAGTAAATTTACGAGACTTTCATCGCCCTACTAAGCGACATCTTCAGCGCATACTTCAATTTTTTGAAGTGAGCTTTTAGATTTTTCCACGAGTTTATTAATCATCTCTCCCGGTGACCTTGGACGTGTTTGGTTGTTTTTGTGTGCTTTCACACCTTCTAGGTTATTTGTATTGTGACTCATTGTTTCCTTGACTTGAACTTTGACTCTTTGTGTGTGAGGTTTCTTTCTTTTCGGTTGATAAATTTTGTCAATCTCGATGTGTCTATCGATTGATGATTCACTGGAATGCCAAGTGTCATTGTTATCCTCATAAACACAACAGGTCTGCGTATCTTACAATATTGAAGTGTTTCTCTATGTTGTTTACACTGTGCATAGTTGCTTAAAGTTGAGGCATGTTCAGCATGTTCTGGACTACATGTTTGCAATACCTCATTTAACGCAGACGTATTTAGTGTGAAATTGACGAGAGAATGACGTCTCAACAGTTTAGGCGTTTCAGAGTTTATCTTGAAATTTGAGTGTAATCCTCTAGTGCTGGACAACTTATGAGGTCTATTTATGCATACGTTGTCAATATAAGGACCAGCTGTGGACTACAAATACTTTAAATTGTATGAGAACTTTACTTAGTGTTAATAGAATCAGTGTATACTAATATATAAAATTATCTTTCATAACTTCATATCTTAAGTATATGATAATAATAATATATATTTTTCCTATCAGTGTAGGACACACCAGTTGTACAGGCATGGATAAGTATTATTTGAATTACATGAATTTGATTTATAGTGAAATTACATGGTTGCTCTCCTCTCTGACATCAGTTAGTGAGCACATTCTGATAGTAAGTCGTTCAATGGAGCACATAAAGAAATATAGAAATATTGTCTTCGCATTAACAAAAAAACCCAAGTATGTGTCGGACAAATTACAAATATTTGGGAAAAAAATAAAGCTTGAAGTCAATTCCTCCATATAACTTTGTTGTGTGCGGCATCATATCTTGTTTTATGTTCAAATTGGGTATTAATTTAAAATGAGTGATTAATTTTTATGATTTTGACATCATTTTTATTGCAAGTAATACCAGATGTGAATTCAACTGAGCGCAGATTAATATTGTTCATTGTCAAGCAGATTTGTTTTACTGCACTGAAGTCACCCATAGCCCGCCATTTGTCACTGCATGGTTGTTCCGTACGAGTAAGTTGATAAACACGTAGAAAGCTATATAAAAGCCATTTTAGATGGTTGACAGTGCTTGTATAAGATGCTGTACAGCGTCTTGTTATGGTGACAGTGGATTTCATCAGGGATGCTGAGCCATTACTAGCCAAACCTTGAGGGATAATATATGAGTAAGTGACTTCAATTGTTTCTCAGCTTCAGTCGGAATGTAGATCAATGCAACTTGTACTACAAAGTAAATACAACAGAAATGTACCAGAGGACAAAGAAAAAGTATGTGGACCCGAAATTATTTGTTTATATTGGCTGTACATCGTAATTTGACGAACAAAAATTTGTTTCTACTATGTCTTTTTATGCATTTATGCTACTAGTTTATTTATAGTCTTTAGAGAAGTAAGGGTATTTAAGCGCGTTTAGGTACTGTAGTAGACTAATAGTTGATTCGTTCTAGGAATAAATAGTTTATTTATATAGTCGGTAGAGTGAAATAGTGTGTACAGAGAGCGTTTGAAACTTAAAACTGTATTGCAGTTCCTGACATCTAGGGGCAGATTGTTCCATATTTTAGAATACATGACTGTGAAGAATTTTTCGTGGAGTGTTGACTTAAAGGCTTTTATTGTCACTGTGCAATTTTGGTTACGCAGATCGTAAGAGCCTTCTTGTGCGAATTGTATGTCCTTAATGTCTGAGAATGATATTTTGTGTAGGACCTTATAGAAGAATACTAGGTTTATAATTAGTCGTCTTGTCCAGAGTGGGTCAAGTTGTAGAACCATGCACCGTGAGATGTAGTCTTTCTTACATTCGTAGCCTAGTAGTTTCGAGGTAAAATATCATTGGATACTTTCTATTCTTAGCTTTACACGTGTGTGAGTGCTGCTAATAATGAATGGACAGTATTCTAGTAGTGGCCTCACACAGGTTTTGTATAGAATGAGCTTTGCTTCATTGTCGTGAAAGTTCCTGAGTATGCATCCTAAGAGCATCCTCGACTTTTGAGTCTGTGATGCCACTTGCTCAGAGAATGTTAGGTTACTCGAGTACCTCAGACCTAGGTCAACGACACTCTGGAGTTTGGTTAGGTTAGCCGATTGAAGCGTTAACTTTATGTCGACTCAGGGTGCACCGAAGCAGATCCAGCCACATTTTTTAAGGTTAAATTGGAGGTTCCATAAAGAAGACCAAGCAGTCAATTTATCTAGTTCTTTTTGTACAACATTCTGGAAGTACCCTAGGTCATCAGATTGGAATGTATAAGCTACTTTGAGGTCATCTGCAAAGATGAATGGTTTCCCATGAGAGAAGCAAGCGCATATGTCGTTAATATATAGGGTAA